GCATTTCCCAGAAGCATTCCTTATGCAAACATGCTTCACATTTTGAAGGGTTTATCTTGATACCCCATTATCAAAAAATTGATTTACTACGCGGAAACGTTGCGAGACATCTATCAAGGCAACAACAGGCGATTCGTGGTGCGAATATAGCAAGGAATCGTCAGCATACAAAATACTTTTGGAGTGTTCACGATCGGGGGGAAATCACTCATAAAAAATATTGCACAGATGGGAAGCTAAAACCGAACCCTGAGGGACACCACAGTTCACATCTGAAAGCTCTGACAACTTGTGTTTAAACTGCACGCAAAACGGTCTTCTTATGAAAAAAACTGTTTATCAGCTTTATGGTCTGAGGATTAAATCCAATGTCTATCATTTCGTCAATATTCCATAGTGAGAAGCATGGTCAAAAGCTTTTTCTACGTCAAGAATACAGCGACAGTACATTTTTATCCCTTAAATTCAGAACAATATCATTATGAAATTTTGTCATTGCATCAACTGTTGAATGGACCCTCTGAAAAACAAATTTTTTCCGAACAACTATCTCGAAAAGTTTGCCCAAATTTGAAAGTAAAGATATAGGTCTACGATTTGAAATTTCTTCGTTGTTGGTTTTTTACTGGGAATAATCTTGGAAATTTCCCAAGAACCAGGAAAATACCCATTAGAAATGCAATTATTAAATATAAAGGTTAAATACTCGAAAGCTTTGACGGGAAGCTTGCGAATAATAAAATTTGAAGGACCATCGAGTCCGGAAGACTTTTTATTCTTAATAGCTGCTGAAATGGCCAGCACTTCATCTGTGGTTGTAAGACTTTCGCATCCTTCTCTATTTCTGGAATCCACGTCATTTGAAAACGAAACACTGTGTTGAGGAAGGTTGGCAATGAAGCCGTTAATGAGTTCTCTTCAGAAGTTTGGTGAACAAGCTCATTATAATATTTGAAAAGAACAAATCTTAAGCGCTTGAAATTCAGCCTCATTAGTAAGCGTTACTCCATAATTGATAATTTTGCAAGGGAGCCGTCTTAGGATGTCCTATGATCCTAAAAACTTGTCTATGTGCGATCGGTCTAGACTTAATTCCACGGAGTTTTCCCTATAAATTGAGACCTGTCAGTTCGACTTGTTTCTTAATCATTTAACCTAACAATTGATTTGTAAAATGAAATTTTCATTTAATTTTCAACTTCTCCCGAATTAGTAGTAATTGACTCAACTTTTCAACAACATTTTCTGCCAATGCCGACCTATAGTGTCCCTACATCTTGCAGCTTTGCACTTTCAATAGATATAGTTTCTCAATGACCTTTTTTGTGTGGACGTTAGAATAAGAAACGGGCATGTAACACGGACACACCATTCACCTTATATGGGATCCAGCATTTCATCAAGGTTCAGTAAGGTGCTAGAAGAATTAAGGTGGAAATACATAAAGCGCATATTTGGCTGGCTTCTTCGTCGATGAACAATGGAGTTTTAGGGTTGACTTAGTTCGATTTTGGCCTTTGTTCATATCCAAAGAAGCCAGCCAGATACGCGCTGTATGTATTCCCACCTTTAGGTTGATTTTTTTCAATTTTTCCACAAATATTACAATCTGTATTGTTTAGACTTAATATCGTTGGGGGTAGTACCAGAAGGAGTAGCCCATCATATTCCATCTTAAGATGTGCGAAGTTTAAAGAATATCGGTGAAGTATTCATTTGTTTAAGGTGAGAATACATAAAACGCTTTTTTGACTGACTTAAGTCATCGGCTGGTTTTTTGGAGAAAATAAAGAGCGCAGATCCAAAATTGAACTAAGTCAACCTAAAACTCCTTTATTCCTCTACGAGGGAAGCCAGTCAGAGAAGCGTTTCTCACCTTTAGTTTGGAACTATCCAAGAAGAGTGCGAAATATCTGACTGGCCTAGAATAAATACCCAGACGAAACAGGTGAAGCAGTTTGTACGAGGGTCAGTCTTGGTGTGTAGCAATTCAAATTCGTACTAAAAATGTGGTAAAAATTAAATAATTTGTATTAGACAAACGGCATGAGATTCACTGATAGGGTGCAGGATTGACGCACTAAGGGTTTGATTTAGAAAAAGGGTATTAAACTTCAAAATGATACCATTTGGTATTATGGAGCGAAGTAGAGCTGAAAATTTGGTAGTGTGTACCAAGGATGGGAGGTTATGTTTTAGATACTACGATGAGGATGGTGAAGTGTGTAGTGAGTGGTAACGAATTGCATTAACTTGTACTAAATTTGGAACAGGAACTTTAAACCAAGTTAAACGGATTCAGTTGACATTTGGAAAATTTTTTATTAGGATCCCTGTTGGTAGTATTTGTGATACAGAGGTTGTTTCGGAAATGTGTGCTACATTGCACGAAAAGTACCAAATAATACTATATTTGTACAATTTGGTATTTGTTGACCTGATAGTGCTTGAATCCAAAACTTTTGTAGTAGGGTCGCTGTTCCTCGACATATGGAGGTGGTCTCGGAAATGTCTACCATAATTTAAAAAGTACTAAATGGTACTTTATTGGGTCTTGTTGAAGGACTATACAATGTTATATTTCGATAACTGTTGGTGTCTAAGATTGAGATATGGAACAATTTTGCAAAGGCACCTAAAATTACACGAAAACATTAATGTTACTACATTTTGGTATTGAATGAATATTTAGAGGTGGAGTTCCGAATCTAATACGGAGCCTCTTTTGGCGTCTTGTGTGGAAATTTGGTGGTGGTTTGTAAATTTATTCTATAGTTGTTCGAAAAGTACTAAGTGGTACTAATTTCGTATTGGGTGAAAGGAATAAAACTGGAATCCCGATATTTGATATTGAGGGTGTCTGTTTGGTATTCGGAATGGAGATGTGCAGGTGGTTTTGGAAATGTGTACTATAAATGTTCGAATAATGCTAAATACTAAATTTAGTTTTCTGTGAAGGTATAAAGCTGGAATCATGACATTTGATATGGATATCATGTTGTGTCTGTGATTGAGAGAAGAGCGGGTTTGGATATGCGTATGTAATTGTACCTAAGTGGTACTTAATTTGGTAATTGAAAATAACAAAGCTGAAATCCTTGAATTTGATATTAGGTCAATTTTGAGATATGGGAATTGAGTTGAAAATGCGTAGAACTAAAGGTGAGAATACAAAAACACTTTATTGACTAGCTTAAGTCATCGGCTGGCTTCTTCGTAGAGGAACAAGGAGTTTTAGTTTGACTTGTTCGATTTTGGCCCTTACGCTTCTTTGTTCTTTCTCTAAAGAAGCAACCTTGACTTAATCCAGTCAAAAAAAAGCGTTTTATGTATTCTTACCTTAAATACCTGGCAGAAATCCTGAAATTTGATATGGATGCCAAATTTGAAACATATATACTGCGAACGTACGAAAAGTGCAAAAATGCCACAAAATGTGCCGCTAGG